GCGCCCGAAGCTTCTGGCGAGTCACTGTCGATGTGTATGTCCTGGCGTTATCCTGATGAAACAGCATTCCCCCACTGTTGGACAAAGCTGGGTGGCTCTGTGCGGCTGCATCCTTCAGACGGTCCAATTTCTGACAGTACAAGTCCTAATCAGGAGTATTTGATAGTAGAGCGGCAGTCATTTGAGGGTTATTTCTTGCTAATTTCATTAAAAACATAACAAAACCTTTTCGGTAAACCATCCGTCAAGCCTGGTTTGCAGACTGTTTAAGCCAGCTTATTGCTTTTCCAAAATGACCGTTTTCATTTTACGTTGCGGCAGATGAGCCATTCTTTATCGCCAATCATGATACGCTTCAGAAATGGGTCGATTCAGTTACAGTGATTGAGTGGAAAATTCGGTCCATGAGGTTTTTTCGCATCAAATTATGTGGCACCCTTACATCGAGCATCTTTGTGTATCCAGCCTTTTTCAAGTTAAAATTCAGAAGTGTTTGTAGTGCGTTCTTTACCTCCTTGGCTGTCTTGACTAAATTCATTATTTTGTCGACATTTTAGACATTTGGTTTGGCCTTCCACACCGTGGAGCTTTTTTGCATAAAAATTACCGGCACTAAATCGACGAAACCGAAATTGTGCACGATTGGCTGTTTCAGTATCAAGACCATATAAACACCATTCACTATTTCTGCTGCTACGTTTGGCTACGTTTCAGATGGTCCAGCCGTTGAGACTAATGATCGTTGACTCCCTTGAGTATTCCGACTGGTAACTGCCGAATGACACTTGTGATGATTCCACCGGCCCAAAAACCACACCAAACCGTTGCTTTTTTCCGGATGAGATTTTAGTACTCCTCACCTCCTGACACTTTTTCCTCCTTCTATTGACTTTTTCAGCACTCCTCACAGAGGGGGGGATAGGAAAGAGAGTTGGTACACTTCTATCTCAGCTTGATAAGACAAATTATTTCCTATCTCATTTACTTCGGCATTAATACTACACAGGAACGAAGTGATATAATTCAACGGCATGTGATAATCATTTTTTCTTCGTGGGTCAGACTGTGTATATTAAAATTTAACTGCTAATCAAAACAAAACTATTAATTTATTATGAACATACATAAATATAAATATTATTTAACAATTATACGCTACCATAGGCCTTGTGTATTGCAATAATATAATTGTAAATATTTATTTAAAATATTTGAGTAACAAGTTTAATGGCGTCAAGCAATGAAAACTGTAATTCAAATAGTGAATAAATGCTATAAAAATTATATCAACATGTAGGAGTTATTTATATTATTTTATACTATATTATAATTATTTATTTTTTGTTTAATAATTTTAAGGCAGTTAATAAAATAAAATAAAATAAAATAAAATAAAATAAAATAAAATAAAATAAAATAAAATAAAATAAAATAAAATAAAATACAATAAAATACAATAAAATAAAATAAAATACAATAAAATACAATAAAATACAATAAAATACAATAAAATACAATAAAATACAATAAAATAAAATACAATAAAATAAAATAAAATTAAAAAAATGTTTGCCCACGCTCTCAAACGTTTTAGTTATCATTTTGCTAAAATTTAATTTTTACTTCGGACGAAGGCGACTTTCATTTTCAAAGAATAACGCAAATTCGTTACACGTGATTTTCAGAGACCTTCTATTTATATACGCCAATAGAAATGAGAAAATACCAAAAAAGAGGGGGAAAAAAATATTCAGTCAAAAAAACTGAAAGTATGCACATGAATACATACATATGCACTTCCAACGTGTATATATTCTGTCTTATTTAGTTTAATTTGTTACATATTTATATTATAAGGCAACGGTGAACACCTGCAAATGAATAGATTGTCATTGAAATTTTCCTTTCAAGATGCAACACACGCCAAGAAGTGTTTCGCTTACGAAATAAAAAAGAAGAATAGAACTAGAACAAAAGAAATAAAAGCAATGCAAGTAAAACAAGACAAATTACATAGAATAGAATGAAAAATGACATCATTCATGTCGTTGCATTCACATACATAAATCAAAGTGGGAAGATCAAAGCCAGATTATTTTGAAATCTAAAAAAAAAATATTGAAATTAAGTACAACACGAAAATTAGGATTATACTATGCGTATAATTGTTTGCATAAAATTTTTAATTAAAACTTGGTGCATGCAAATTTCGGTCATTGTGAAAAATATATTGAATAAAAATGCGCCTATTTGTTGATTATTATTATTTTTTTTTTTTTGGTATGTGACAACAATAATGGCGTCGGTAGAACAGCAGTTGATTTATGGCGCTACGTGGGAGAGAAAATAATTGACTTGAAATTCGTTTTTTTTTCAAGTTTAGAGGTTTTTAAAAAAATAGTGTGTGTTTAAGTTAATATTATTATGGTTAATTATTTTTCAGTGCTTTTTAGTAAAACATCACAGCTACTCGAAATGGGTAACGTTTTGTATTAAGATCTACTTTCCGTTTATGACCTATAGAGCTACGGCAGGTGCGAGTACCGTTAAGAGGGGCTACTTGAACACCCTTTTAATACAATTCTTAAAATAAAAAGAATAATAAAAATATATTTTTTTGAGTTAGGTCAGTTGGTTGACACAGTTCTAATCGACAAGTTGTTCCTAGCGATAACAGAATCGATAAAATCTGACCCCGGTGTGGTATTCTGGAAGACATTGACGTGCTTGGCTGATTATTGAACCACATCTCGAATGTCTATCTTTGTCGAAGAGAAATGCTAATTCGATAAAATACCAGAGGTTGCAGAAATCAATGCTTCTCAGACTTATTTAAAACAGTTGGATGTCCAACAGGTTTAATATTTCTTCCGAGAACTTTTCGCAATAGAGTAGGCCAAGGCTCTTGAATATTTCTGCAGCCCGCTTCTTTGACATCCCGCCTCAAAGTGCATCCATAGCTTACATACATTTTATAATAGTTGTACACTGACTATCTGTCCAGCTTTATTTATTTTTTTTCTTTAAATTATATATTTTTTCAGGGCTTCAATGGGCGTTTGTAGAAGTAATAAGCGTTTCAGTTGACCCAAATCTATTGCTACCTAAAAATTGTTAAATGAAGAAATATTTTAAGTTTTAATGTGATGATCACATACGCGTACGTTTAGCTCTTTGGCTAACAGGTCACCCACAGAAGCCCACTCTATTGATTGTTCCTTCTTTTCAGCAGTGATATGATGCTTGAAAAATTCTACAAGGCAAGTTGAGCTTAAGGCATGACTTGTGCTGGTATGAGCATAATGAACCTCAGTAAATTGTTTATTAATCCTGGAATTGGTGGTACAGAATTCCATTGTATTCTAGTTAACACCCCCTTCTTTGGTTACGATGATCTCTTAACGCTGATATTCGCTGAAGATAGCAATCGAAAAAGTTCCCAAAGAAATTGTTTCGCGAGGCTATTAGTACAGATAAATGTAGGGAAGTATCTCCCCACCTTTCGTTCTGCAAATTGTGACAAATATCACAAGGGTAGTAAAGCAGTAACTTTCTGTGAATCCCCATGAAACAGTGCCCTGTTATCACCCTCGTCGTTATACAGATAAACATTCCGTCTAGTTAAATCTAGTTTAATCTTTTTGGCTCCGCCAATTTATCCGTAGTACAGTTGCGTTATAGAGATCAGAATGCCTCGTAATTTTTTGTCCCTTGACCGTATATTTGAACCGTCACTCACAGTTGCCATGATTGTAATAAGCTCTGTTTGGAAGACGCTGCAATAGCTTGACTGTTTCATGAACATTTTAATAAAGTGCATCGGGTTGTGAACGGATTAGACAGTCTACTCAGTTAACTAGTTTTGATCAGTCTATGAAAATAACCCGGTGCTCCGATACTGGACGTTTGTGTTACCCTCTATTCGTTATTGTCTGATATTGTTGTGGAAAATAAACTGTAAAATCAGAAGTTGAAGCTTTTACAGAAACTGTTTGAGGGATAATATTTATGGCGCGCCATATATTAGAACACCTCTACAGCTGGGTTCTTATATTGAGGATAGCTGAAGACCGCTAAATTCTCTCTCTAGTTTGCTACTGAAAATATTTTTTTTTTGAGTTCACTTCTACTTCTTCGTCTTCTTCATTGGCGTGGACGCCACTTACCCGATTATAGCCGAATCAACAGTAGCGCATCGTTCGATTCTTTGCTTTTTGGCGCTAAGTACAATAAAACCAGGTAGATCTCCACCTGACGCTTCCACCGTTGGGTATTGCATCTAATATTTTCAATGCTGGCACGCTTTCGTTCATCCGGACAACAGGGCCTAACCAGCGTAGGCTCTGTCTCTTCATTCGCTGATCTAAATCAATGTCATCGTATAAATCGTACAGCTCATCGTTCCATCGTCTGCGGTATTTGCTGTAGTCAATGCGGAAAAGCTCATAAATCGTTTGTAAAACTTTCCTCAGGGGCGCCACATCGAATGCCGACATTGTCCACGCTACTGCACCATGAGTTGGGTGTTAGTTTTTACTTTTCAATAGCCTACTCTGTCCAAAGTTGCGATGGATCTTATCGCTGACATTATTATTGGTGTTAATGCCACTGTATATAGTACACCCTTCCTCGATCTTACTTTCGTGTTCCAGTTGAACTTGTTATCTACGATTATACTGACATATTTGACTTCAGTCGATAAGTAAACTCCGTGTCTTTTAGGAGAGGTGGCTTAAAAAGTGATGGTCCTGGCTAAAAGGACTATTTCAGGATTTGCTGTGTCCTCGCACTAGATTTCCACTTAAGGTAGAACCATTCTAAGTAGATCACTTGTAACTTGGCTTGGAATAAATGGCAGTTCCATAGATTTGTCGGAGAAACCTCACAAAGAACGCCATAAATTGAAGAAGAAGGTCGGACGAAGGTTGCTTCAGCGGTTACGAAGTACATTTTATTATAGCAATAAATTTAAATTTCGATAAAGTTCAGAACGCATTAACTGAGATTTCGAAACATATTATCAGATCGTCCGTCGCTAGGCAGAAGACTGATCCACTTTATTTCCATAATTATCATTCATACATCTACGTAAAAGTGCGAGTGTGCAGGTAAATATGTAGGCACATATATTGAGATATTGTTTTTTGTATCTCTAATTAATGATTTGTGCGAATACTAATTGTGCTAATTTTAAAATCGCCTTTAAAGTATATTTCTTTCTTACTTAAATAATAAAACTAAAATCTATTCGTCGGATCACGACGATTTGTGAGATCAGCCTGCATTATAGCTGGCGCAGGCCTTTTATCTGGCGGTGGTGCTGCCTTAACATCTTCCACTTTATTACTGAGTTCAGTGATCACCTTTGGTGGCACCGTTATATCCAAACTATCCCCCTTCTTATAGTACAAATAGCTACTGGACATGAGGCCGACCAGAGAGAGGGTGATAAGCGACCAACGCAATGCAGAATTGAATTTCAGACCACTGCAAAAAAAAAGAGTAGTTGTGTTGAATTGCTTATAAAATATATTGAAATAATTTTCCCAACAACTCACAGGAACAATGTGTATTTTAGCATATTTGTAAACGTCTTATTCAGCGCCACACCCTCCTCAATCCAGAAAAGCGGTAAAATCATTTTGCGCAAATCCTTCACGGGCTCAATTTTTTCCACTGGTTCGACATCTAAATTGAATTGCAAACGCTTAGCCGCTTGGAATGGTGTGCCCGAGGTCTTTAGATGAAAGAGAAGAGGCGCTATTTTTATATGTATATACGTATAACGGATTGCTAATAATATTACCAATTCGAAATCAATGAAGACTGCATGATCTTTCTCATTCGGACTCAAGCCATTCACCTGCTCAAACAAATTCGGATCGGCATTGTAAAAGTGTGGCATTGAAGCTATAATAGGTGCGCCCACACAGGGCTCTAAATTCATGGTGCCCTTCACCGGGCATGAGTCGATATCTTCGGGATCGTCACAGAAACAATGCAAACTTGGATCGGCCTATGAAATACAAGACTACAGAAATTTTTTCGAGTTTCATCCATCCATCTGCACATACCTTTATATCGCCCAAATCCATGTAATACCGCATTGCCGGCATGCCATGATATGACGATTTACGCCTGTACATGGCGCCAAACGAGCGACATAGATCCGGTGTGAAGGCCCACAGTCCTTGCTCTTTGGTCATGAAAGGCGCAAAAATTGTCGAATCAGTGCCGATAAATTCATTACACTCATCGCCCGGCCAAATATCCAGTGTGGGCTCATTACCGAAGCGTATGACTTTGCCCAGTTTGCTGACATTTTTTACGCCACGGCAGACGGTGAAACGACCGGCATCGGTGTGATTGTTCTTGGCAATATTTAAGGAAAAATTGAAAGAATTTTTAAATCAAAAATACTGTTTTAATTTAGAATCTTTTTTTTTCTTACATTTGCCATGAATGAAAACAGAAAGTGCGTCTCGTTCACTTGTTTCGCCTGTCTCACTTCTCCCGTATAGAATGCCGTGCATAAGGCTTTGGCGGCGAATTCCTCTGACCCACAGTTCACATAAATACCTCGAAAGAATATGTCCATAAATTTCACAGTTAGCAGTGCTTTCTCACCTTCGAACACAATTTTTATTGCTCTAGACACGAGATCCAACATAGCGGCACGTTCACGTTGCACCACAACAGAGATGGGCTAGAGAGCAGAATAGACAAAAAAATTTAAAAATTTAAAAAAATGTCAAAAATATTTCAAACATATATGTAAAATATTGAACATAATTTCTTTGTAAAAGCGAGTTTTGTTTTTATTGAATTTTACTGTTTATTCAATTTCCGTTTTCTGTTTATTTCAAGCACTTACACTTGAATTCAATAGCCCTGACATCTTAAATTATTAATTATTAGTTATTAATTTAATTGCTATTGTTTTCCTATGCAAGAGGTGTAACATGTAGAACTAGAGTTGCCAAGTAAACGATAGTATGCACAAAAAATGTTGATTAAAAAATAAAATAAAATAAAATAAAATAAAATAAAATAAAATAAAATAAAATAAAATAAAATAAAATAAAATAAAATAAAATAAAATAAAATAAAATAAATAAAAATAAAATAAAATAAAATAAAGTAAAAAAATAAAATAAAATAAAATAAAGTAAAAAAAATAAAATAAAATAAAATCAAAAATAAAATAAAAAAATAAATGTAAAATAAAAACTTAAATAAATTGATTTAAATTACGTTAAATAAAATAATGTTTTTTTTTTTACATAAATAAAACAAATGAATTAAAGTATAAAAGATGAATAAAAAATAGTTTAAAGACAAATGAATTCTGTAATTAATTCCAAATATTGTATAAACTTCATGTCCTGACTCACCACCAACAATGGATGCGGAATAGTTATTAACTCTTCACCGGTCAAACCTTTAGAAGCTTCGGCGTTGTAATGGAAAGTGTTACGCATATTAAACGAAATTGAATCTTCCACAACATCATCGACTAAATCGTATTTGTCTTTCCATTCGCTAAGTACGGCAAACAAGAAAATTTTAGAATAAGTTTTTTTTTTTTGCCCACATTTACACACGATTTTGTTATAACAAATTGACACTCACTCAAAAACAAATGGTCCAACTTCTTGTAAATTAGGCTTACCGCCCTGAATCACCTCTTCCGGATTGGTAATGTTGAAAACATATATATAAAAATGTAGAGGAAATGGCGTTTGGGTCCAGAGATCACGTATTTCCGTGCCCGGTTTTAAGGAAACTTGCTTTGAGTATGAGAAGAAATGTATAGAAATTAACACTTATTAACCAGTTGCTCATTGAAACTGTTTAGTAAATAAAATTTCACAATATTTTCAAATCTAATAAGTTATTTTATATCATTTTATTTTATATTCTAATTTTTTGTTATTTTTTCATTTCTCTCATAAAATGTAATTTATTTTATGTAATTTATTTTGTGCTGGTATTTTAATTATTATTTTAATATATATATAATATATATTTATATTTGTATATATATTCTTTTTTTAATTTCTTTTTTATTTTTGAGTTTATATTCCGTTTTTCTAATGTAGTTTATACCATATCGTACAATATTTTTTATATTTTATTCCAATTTATTTTTACTAATTATTATTAATATTATTTTATTATATTTATTATTCTATTTTATTTCATTTTAGTTTATTTTATTTTAGCTATTTTTAGTAAATTTATTTTATTTTATTTCAATTTATTTTAGTTCAATTAATTTAATATAATTTAAATTTGACTAACCTTGGTTGTTTGTTTTATATGTTATATTTAGCTCATTTTCTTTTACTTTATTTTATTATTTGTTTTATTCTATTTTAAATTATTTTGTTTGCTCCATATTAATTTTTTTTCTGTTATTTAATTTAACTATTCTTTATTAATTTTGTATGTTTTATTTTTTTTTGTATTTCCTTTATTTTGAATTTTATTTTACGTTATTTTACGTTTATTTTATTCTATTTCTGTTTTATTTTATGTATTTATTCTTTTATTTTATTTTGTTTTATTTATATACTCTATTTCGCATTTGTTCAAGTATTGGTAATTCTTAAATTAAATTTAATTTTATTTACTTCATTTATTTTATTTTATTATACTTTAATTTTTTTGCTTGCTTTATTAAATCGGTTGTATTTAATTTTGTTTTGTTTGATTGGTTTTCGATTATCTTTTTTATATTATATTGTTTTTATTTAACTATACTTTATTTTGCATTTTTTATATTTGTCGTCTTTAAATTTTTAAATTAATATAATTTATATTATTATTTTCATTTAATTTTTTTTCTATTTTTTCATTTTTCTGTTTTTTCATTTTTCTATTTTTTTCACGTTAATATAATTTTAATTTTTTATTCTATTTTATTTGATATTCCATAAAGTTTACGTTACTTTATATTTTTAAGTTATTTTATTTTTTATTTTGTTTATTAGTTTATCTTTTTTATTTAAATTAATCTTATATTGTTTTAATTTTTTTATTATTTAAATTTAATTTATATTATTTCATTTTAATATTGACATTATTTTATTTTACTTTGATAAGAAAATTTTATTTTATTTTATATTGTTTTATTTGCTTTATTAGATCCAATTTGTATTTTTTTTAATTTTGTTCTTTTTTTATTTAACTCAATCTTATATTGTTTAATTTTATTTTAATTTTTTTTATTATTTTAACTTATTTAACATTATTTCATTTTAATTTTTTTATTATTTTATTTTACTTTATTTAGAAAACTTAATTTTATTTATTGATTATTTATTGAAAGTTTCTCTATATATTTTAATTTAACAATTTTTCTTATTTTTTATAATTCCCTACTAATTATGGTTTCTTTTGAATTCATGTTTTTTTTTATTCATTCGAATTTTTATTCCAAACTTAAACTAATACATGAATTTAGCACCTTTTTTATCATTGCTTTGAGTATTTTCGGAAATCCAACCCAGCCAAAAATTATGCCAAATATCATTGCTGACGCCGAGGCGATCAATAGTTTATGTCTTTGAACTTTCATCTTTATATTCTTAGTTCTCAATACCAAATCAAACAAAAAAAAAATACAATGAACACTCAATCACTGCACAATTTTATCCGATTTCATTATTTCCCCAATCAATTGCAAACAAAGTTTTCAAATCATACGATTTGTTGTTTTTACTTTTTCTCCCAACGTTACTTTCTCAACTGCAATCCTCGCTTTCTACGAACATACTGAACGCGCCTATTAAAGTTTCCATTCATAGAACATGCAAACTTAGACGATACTTGTTGTCCAGACGTCAGATGTCTATGTATGCCGCGAAAAATAACTTCATACACATAACATTTATATTGCAAAAAAAAATAAAAAATAAATATTGAAAAACAATCAAATAATATTGCCGTAAAAAATATTTAAAGCCGTCATTGAAAAAAAAAAGAAAAAAAAACTGTTACTCCCTATTTCGCCGCACATTCACATAGGTCATATAACAACCTGAGAACAAAATCATTATTAACTTAACTGCCGCCGCCAGTCAGTCATCCATTCAATATCTACAACAGTATGTTGCTATTATAGCCGATAGTTTTCGCTTTAAATTCTATTGTATGCATTCATTTGCAATTGATACTGTGGCTATTATATGGATATTGCGATATTTTTGCAATAACCAATTGGCAAAACACGCCTCTTCGCCACATAAGGCAATATCGCACGCATGAATTTTATGGCTGAAAACAGTTGCTTGTGTATACATATATGCACATATGTACATATGAAAATACATACAAACCTACATACTAGTAAAAGTCACTTGATGGCTTCTTTCCGTCTTAAACTCGACATTCCTTCCATGATTATGGAGTGAGTTATCCTTACACCCCTGGCTTTGACTTTTCTTTTTAATTATAATAATATTTATATATATGTATGGTATGTTGTACGCTGAACCCATTGCGAAGACGACGCCCATTCAATAATATTGTTGTGATATTGCAGAATTTCTCATAATACAATTTGAAATTATTTGCAGTGAGAACTTTATTGTTGCCATTTAGTAATAATTTTGTTTAAATCTCTACGTTTTTTGTCTGTGAAAATGCTTGAAATTTTGTTTCATGCTTTCGGCAAGCGAGATTAAATTTCAGACAAGATTTTCCTGTTCAGAAGTTGAATGTAGACGCCAAATCCTGAATTTTTGTATCATAATAAATAAAATACAAATTTCTTAAAAAAAAGTAATATAAAATAATATAAAAATTAAATTGAGATAATATAAAATAAATTAAAATAATAAAAAAAATTAAAATAAAATAAAACAAATTTAATGAAAAAAAATTAATTTTCCAAATTTAAATTTACCATTTTTGGACCATTTTTCACCGTTTTTGGACAACATTCATTTTATACCAATTATGCCTATATTTATGATAACTTCATTCTCTGCAAGTGTAGCTCATCATCATCACGGTCACGATCACGGTCGGTAAAAACATATGTTCGTCCATGTTTTCCCTTATATCTACTCAAATGCAGGTCTTCGGTGTATTCATTTTCAAATTGGCTTATTATACGTCGACTTTCTCGTATTAACAAAATAGTTTGTCAATTTTTCTCTTGATATCGTCTGGCTTTTCACAATTGTTCCCCAAAACGCCCTCGTTAACTGCTCTTAATTCCAAGCATGCTACGAGATAATCGCCGCTCAGTTAATTTATTAAGGCTTTTCATTATTTTTCGTATATTCGGTCCTTCTAGTAAATGTTTTCAAATTTTAAAAAAAGAAATTGAGAAAAAAATTTATTAGTTATATATATATTATAGATTTGATTAGCAATTAAATAACCTGCCATTTTTGATTTTTTCCTTGCCCAGTTTTGGAAAGATGATTTGCAAGCGATGAAAGACAACTTCCAAATCAATCAATTCTCTACCGACTACCAATTGGATGTGAAGTGGCGTAAGATTATATCTTGGATGTCTTCTGTTTGATGTTGGTTCGGATATCGTGAATTCCAATTATAAAAGGAGCTAAAGAAATGGTTGGTTTTTTGTTCGTTCTGTGCAACAGCACAGTCTTTAAGCCTCTCACTGAACCATTGATGAATAAATGCCATACTCGTACATCGACGTTGTTTTCCATTTCCAATTTACATACCGAGTCTGGGATATGATTGTAGTAAAAGAATGTATTTTCATCGTTGAGGGTATACAATTTCTGCAAATCAGCTTTATTTTTTTGCTGTGTGGGTTTTTTGCTCTTCAAAAATGTGGTCAAAAATCCCGCATTCCTTTGCGTTAAATCCCATTTAGCCGCAATTTAATCCACTTTGCTTTGTGTGAGCGGTGGTGGTGCATCATTCTGAAGAAAGAAGTTCCCAATCCAATTCCAATTAACCGGTTAGATTGGTCCAAGCAGTTCCTTCTTCCTTGGATGAATTTTCCGGAGTCGTAAGCTTGGGTAGGTCGACACAAGGAGCGCAGCTATAGCAGTAGCAGTGATTTCATATTCTTTTATTTTTGCGTTTGTTCAATCCAACAGCGGAGTCGCAAAATTTCAAGTTTCATCATGTTTGGTCTTCCATTTAGCTTCACATAGAGCAGACAGGCTTTATTTCTTCCCTGGACAGAAAAATATGGTAATCACTTGGTGCCAGGTCCGAACTATAAGTTGTGTGCATTATGACCTCACATTCGAGCTCCTGGAGCTTCTGGCGCGTCGCCAAAGACGTGTGTGACCTGGCGTTGTTCCGATGGAACACAATTCGGCCTCTGTTGATCATAGATGACCTCTTCTGGATGAGTGCTGCCTTCAAGCGGTCCAGTTGTTAGTAGTAGAGAGCCGAATTGAGCGTTTGGTCAGAGTGGAGCAGCTCGTAGTATATGATTCCTTGCCAATCCGACCAAACGCACAGTAAAACCTGGTGCATCATCGAAATTACCGAAACAGAACCTAGCAAACCACTTTTGTGCTACACGTTCGTTTACAGTATCGGGCCCATAAACTAAATTAATTTTTTCAGCCGGCTCGGCTGCTTTTTTGCCTTGATCGAAGAAAAGTTGTAAACTATAGCGAATTTTCTCTTTGCTGGTGTCCAAATTGGAGGAAAGGACTACATTATAAAGCCCCCAGATATGAGATTTTTGATAAAACAAAAATGTGTTAAAATAGCATCTACGGGGTGAGATTTCGTATTCTACACATTAATGAACAACAAATTCATCGAAATCGAAACCAATTTTTCAGTTAAGAAAATCCTAAAATAAATTACCATAAATTTGTTATAGTCACGAAAGGTATAAAAAATTCAGCTTAGTCGAAGACAGCTCTTCGTTTTTGCTTTCTTAAAGGATTTAACAAACATAAAGGCAAAAACTTTAATAAGGTTAACTATCATGAAAAAACTAAATAAATTATCTTATTACTTAAACAGCACTTAGTCCTTGCCTTCTACGTAAACAATCAAATTGTTGCAAATTAGTTGAGTAATCAAATTTCCTTTTGTTGTCAAAGGAAATTCTTAAATAACATCTGTTCGTACCCATAAGACCAATGGAATCTTTATAAAAATAGTTCAATTTGAAATTTTAAATTCATTAAAACTAATTGAAGCAATTTGCAACACCTCAGTTTATATTTTTTTCCCAAAGAAATAAATTTTTCATAAATAACCTCTATCGGAATCAAAACATAGGAAATTGTTTTATTAAACACAGAAAAAGCAAAAAAAAAAAGAAAAAATCAAATGGAATAGAAAAATGGCATCTGAGTGTGATAGGTAATTAAAATGTAAATTACAATTTATTTGAATTAAAAATTTATAAAAATTTCCAACGTGGAAATAACAGATGATATGCATATATAAATACATACATATTTATATTTGGTTTGGAAATTCAAAAAAATACTCTTAAAAAAAAAATACTCTAAAATAATAATAATTTTATATTATATACAAGATTTAATTTTTCATAACATAAGTTTTCGATTTGTTGGAAAAACAACAAGATGCAAAACCACAAATTGGATATATAATATACGCTGAAGCGATTTTTCGGCCGAGCTCCTCCTCCAAATCGAGGGACCTACAATAAATACTAAGCCGCCTCCGAACGGCTGATGGTTTTTTTTTATCAGGAGCTTTAATTTCATGTCAAAGAAATACTCGGAAAGGTTGACATTCCCTGCCGATGGGCGAACGCAATTAGAAAATTTAGCTTAATTTTTTATTTAAATTAATTTTACATAACTTTTGGATGTTGGTCGCTCGGAGATTTGAACCCGAGCCTTCCGAATGACAGTAAGCAAAGCTAAACACTCGGCTACCACGACCGCTGTTTTAATATAGTACACTAAAAATTTAAAAAAAAAAAAGAATAATAATATAAAATAATTTATGTTTTAACTTTATTTTTTTAATAATTTTATGTTTTGTGTTCTTAAATAAGTTTTTTTAGTATATTTTTTAAACTGTTTTATTTATAATTATGTAAATTTATTTATTTTTAAATTAATAATATAATATAATATAATAATTAATATTATTTAATTTTTTTCATTTATTTATTTAACTTAATTTCATTTTAATCCGTTCATTTATTTCATTTTATTTTATTTATTTGATTTTTGATTTTGTTTTATTATATTTGAATTAATTTTAATTTCTTTTAAACTATTTATTTCAGTTCAGTTTATCTTATTGAGTTTAATTTAATTTAATTTTATAGAATTTTGTTTTATTTTAATTTCTATTAATTTTATTTTTATTTTTCGTTTTAATTTTATTTTCATTCAATTTTTTACTTTATTTTGTTTTAATTTAGTTTGCTTTGTTATATTTTATTCCATTTTGTTTTATATGTTTTATTTAATTTTAATTTGTATAATTTTTCCGATTTTAGTTTATTTTATTTATTTATACTTTAATCTCTTTTAATAATTTTGTTTTACCTTAACCATATTTTATTTTAATTTTCTTATTTTTATTTTGTTTTTTTTTTTTATTTTCTTATTTTTATTTTTATTTTTTTTTTGTTTTTATTTTTATTTTGTTTTTTTTTATTATCTTATTTTTATTTTTATTTTTTTTTGTTTTTATTTTGTTTTTTTTTTTAATTTTTCCAATTCATTTTATTTAAATTTGTTTCATTTTAAATAATTTATTTAAAATTATTTATTTTATTTGATTTTATTTTAATAAGCTTAATTTATTTTAGCTTTATTTGATTTTATTTTATTAAGCTTAATTTAATTTAGCTTTATTTTCTTTTATTTCAATTAATTTTTTCTTGTATTTATATTTAGTTTAATCTTATTTTATTTCACTTTATTTTGATGTATTTTAACTATTTTATTTTAATGTATTTAATTTTATTTTTTTAATATTTTATTTTGTTTCATTTTACTTATATTTATTTTATTTTTTCTTTTTAATTTTATTTTAATTTCCTTTCAATTTCTTTTGGTTTCATTTTGTATAATTTTATTTTGTTCTGTTTTATTTTATTATTATTTTGTTTTATTTATTTTAGTTTACTTTATTTATTCATACTTTAATCCCTTTTAATAATTTTGTTTTATCTTAACTCTTTTTATTAATTTTTTTATTTTGTTTTAAGTTTTAAATATTATTTTCTGTTTATTTATTTTATTTTATTTTTATTTTATTTTCTTTTCCTTATATTATTGTTTTATTAATTTTTTTATGTAATTTTTTTTTTTATTTTATATTATTTTATTTTACCTTAGTTTATATTAATTTTTTTATTTTGTTTTATATATTTTAATTTATATTATATTTCCTAATTTTTATTTGTTTATACTTGAAAGCAATTTCTTTTGCTATAATTTATTTCAATTTTACATTGTGTATTATTTTAATTGTTTTCAATGTTTTTTTTTTTTATTTTTCTTTATTTAATTTAATTTTACCTTTTTTAATATTTTTTGGTTTAATTTTATTTATTTATGCCTTCATTTTCTCACGTAAAAAAATCAATCTTCGTTATAAAATTCCACACTATAGATATTAAAAATAAATATTAATTTAAAATAAAATTAAAATTTATCAAACAAAATTTGTATATTTTCTGCATTTTCATTGAAAGTTGCTCTCTACATCATTGTTTTTGTGTATCAATATTTATAAAAAATGCATTTTCCTTTTACTTTTGAACTCATTTCCTTTCATTTCTATTTGTTCCGCAATTTTTCACGAATACTCTACTGCTCAACTTTTTTATTGTTTGAAAAATCATGTTTTCTCTCACCACAATTGCTTTGGCGCTCAAAACTCAGCAACAGAAAGAAATGTGATAAAGTTCCTCATCGCGTTTGGCTATAAGAAACAGAAAAGCACAACAAATGCCGTAGAGTGTGAGTAAAACGAAAAGATCAGGTATTTTTTACCTGCTCATGGTATATCTTCACAATTTTTCTTCGTTTTACCCCAAAAATCAGGTCACAACGTGCGTTTTTTCATTTCAACTCACCTACTCACGGAAAAAGAGATGTACATGCATACATATGTATGTACGCAGCGCGCCTTCGCTTTGTTTCTACGCCATGCAACAAAGCAGCACATGCAACTTCCGAAAACCGGTTTATGTCACCTTTTTAAAATATGCAGCGGTGCAGCACAAAACAAACATATAATACTTACCCATGCACAGTGAGTTAGAATTATATTCATATGCAACTCTATTGGGAGAAAAAAAAATGATTAAGTTTGGTTCTGGTGGCAACCTATCTATCGCATCGATTACATTTAGCCGTGGTTAAGATCCATTGTAATGCCATAAAAGCTGCATTATCCACCCATTTTGAATCTCTAATAAACCTCGGCTATAATCTCGTAAGCGGTGCTATCGTCAATGAAAAAGAAGAAGAAGATCTTTGAATTTAAAGCCGAATATCTTCCGTAGACCAGACCATGTAACAGTAGGGTCTCAAAATTCCGAAACCAAGCACTGCCCAAAGCAGAACAGTCCTCACCATTATTGCAGCTTCTATAGCATTTTCTCTAGGTAGTCCCTATTCTCGCATGTCATTCTCTCAGGGAGTGGGCTGTCAGAACTCGTTATTCTTTTGGACAAGTTCTCTTTGTTTTAAGAGTACATATCAAGTGATCTCTTCTTATCTTTTTTAGGCCAGGTTTGCCTGGATCGTTAGGTTGTACAATAGTTTCATTCCAACTTGACGCGACCAGTTAATATGTAAATTACTTGAAAGGCAGCTTGCCAGTGGAAAGAGGCATACCAATTGGTTCTTGTATCTTATCTAGAAAGTTAATCCGCCTTACAGTTTCTCTCGATGTCCCCCTGAC